TATTTAGACTCCTGAAAAGAAAACGTTTAAGAATAATACTCCTACTCAAATACGAAATCCTGAATTTGAATGTTCTCCCAGCAGCCGTCGACGTATCGATAGTGTGGAAATATATTCCACTCAATCAATAAGTTCAAGTGTACTACAACATAGTCAAAGCGGCATAGAAGAACAACGTCAATTGCGACTTGATGCACAAAGTGAACGAGCTCGGTCTAGCCGAATGAACGAAACAGCTGAACACCATCAAATTCGGCTTGAAAAGCAAAAACGTCGAGATCAATCTCGTCGATCAAATGAAACAGAAGAACACCGTCAACTTCGCCTTGAAAAGCAAAAAACACGAAATCAATTGAATACAGCAGAGCAACGTCAGATTCGACTTGAAAAACAGAAAACACGAGATCAATTTCGTCGATCAAATGAAACAGAACAACAACGTCAAATTCGACTTGAGAAGCAACGGAAACGAAGCGAAGCAAGCAGAGCGAAGAAGAAACTTGAAAAACATACATTTGACAACATTGACATTCATCGACAAAATATCGAAATGCAATTTAGTGGAGCGGAAGAAGAAGTATCATTGGATAATAGCAGCACAAATGAAAACATCATAAAGAAAAAGAACGACTCAAACTATTCCTCTTGGCCTGAATCGATTCCTTGTGAATTAAAAGAGGCTCGATTACAACAGTTTCTTCAACATATGTCCATGCCAGTACTAGCTGAAGCTACTTGTGCAATTTGCAACGTTCGTACTCCAATGCAGCAGTCAAAAAAGTGCCACTCTCAAAAATTCCTAATATTCATTTACTTAAAGTTTCTGACGAGCTCAAAAATTTAATTACTAATGGTTCATCATCGTTATCACAACATTTAGATGGTAACAGCACAGAGATTCTTCAAAATATTCAAAGTAACATATGATTACTGTGATTTGAGACATTATATAGAATTTTTGACTATTCTAGTTCCTTCAACTTTCGATTCTTCATCATTTCATTATGATAATGGTGTTATCTTATATACCGATGGATTATTTTAACAAAACAAGGTGAACATGTGCACACTTTGCCAAAAATATCACAGTTCTCTATCGAAGAAACAAATTCCTAAATTCTCAGCTGCCAACAATATATGGTTAGGTGACGTACCTTCTGAATTACGAGGATTGACAATTCCAGAAGAAAAATTGATATCACTCTATCGTCACAATAGCTGTATCATAAAACTTCATTCGCCTTTCCATTCAACTACAAGTGCTCAAACAGCATTGAAAGGCAACTGTATTACTTTTCTTCAAGATGTACCAAACATTGTTAATAGTTTACCACTTACACTTGACGAGCTGTGTGGTACACTTAAGGTAATTTTCGTCGGAGCTCATCCTCCTGAACGCATTCAACTTAAAAAAGTGCTCATAGTACGCAAGAAGAAAATTATCGAAGCATTACGTTGGCTGAAGAAACTCAACATACTTTATCAAAATGTTGATATAAATCTGAAGAATATTGCTCAATTACCTGAAGACGATGTACCAGAATGTATTATGTCAACGATGGAACAGAGGATAGGTGATGAAGAAATTCAATCTGAAAGAATTGGATATATTCCAGATCCATTATCTGACCCAATAGAACGTACTAGTACAGATAGTATTCCTATTAGTAACAGGTGAGAGCAGCTAATAAATTAGTTGTTTCACCAATCTTTTGTTTTTTAGTGGTGTTCTCGATGTCAATGGCTCATCAGTGTCTTCAGATGAAATTACTAATTATCTTTTGCACAAAATTAAAAATGACGGAACAAAGGAACAGATGGACACCGAAAATGTTTATTTAATTCCTCATTCTTTGAAGCCTGTTAATGAATATTTTAATCCAAAACTACTCGTAGGTCTGTATCCAGCCTTATTCTGTTACGGACGTGGAGCACCTGAAGATCAATCTCGTCCTGTTAAAGTAAATTTACGAGAACACATACGTTATCTGTTATCGTATAATGATCGACGTTTTGAAACAAACCACAGTTTTATATTTGTCGTCTTCAACCTATTACAACGACGTGATGCTTGTTTTCATGCTCAGCTGATCGCAACAAAACCTTACTTTCGGGCATCTGCTGATGAAATTCAATCCTTGAAAAGTAAAGATATTGAAATGGCGCTCGATAACATTTCCAAAAAAACATACAGTTCAGAATCCAACAGTGCATTAAATAAATTATTGCATCATATTAAAACCATCGGTGGCCGAGTTATGGGTTCAGCATATTCACGTACGGCATTACGTACACGTATTCATGCATTAATCTATAATCAATGGTTACCAAGCATTTTTTTAACTTTAAATCCAGCTGATATTCACAATCCCGTGACATTATATTTTGCCGGCGTCAAGCTTGACTTGGACAATATTCAAATGGAACAACTTATGGATACTTACAAAAGAGCTGAAATTATAGCATCTCAACCTGTTGCTACTGCCAAATTTTTCCATTTATTGATCAGTAATATCTTAAATACTATGATTAGTGGTGGTGTTGTTGGATCAATAAAAGCTTACTTCGGTACCGTTGAAAGTCAAGGACGAGGTTCTCTTCACTTGCATCTTCTTATTTGGCTTGATCATGACATGAAGCCAGCTGATATGAAAGAGAAAATTCAAAATGCTGATTTTCGTGAAAAATTGAAGGCATATTTAGAAGACATCATCAAAGAAGACTTAGATGAATTCAAAGACAAACATGTCTTTGAGAATTTACACGGTATGGAACGTTTTGCTTTTATGCGAATATTGATTTTTAATTTTATATTGTAGTGACAAGAACATTGAATACTCCACCACGATTATCACAAGATAATATCTATGCAGCTTTACGTACTATGGATTTAACAGGTTTAGGTGAAAATATAAATAAATCTCCTGTTTGGTCAACACCAATCAAGCAACAACTTTCTCCGTCAACTCCTTATGCTTCTCCATTACGGAATAAATCGTTACAGACACCAACACATGATCGACCAACATCCAGTAAGAAATAGAAGTAATAAAAAAGATAAAGTGTAGATCATATTTTAGTTATGAATGTTTTACACAATCAATCAAACATAAATCCAGCTTGCTTACCTACTCCAAATCCATCATCGCCTAATTTTGCAGCACGCTTTCGTGCAGATGTAGTACAACTTGTGGAAACAGACAACAAGCACAAGCATAGTGACACATGTTACAAGTATTCTAATCCTAAACAAGGTGACAAGAAAATTTGTCGACTGCGTATGCCACGCAAATTAGTACCAGTTTCGACGATTGATCCGAATACCGGTCATATCTCTATGCGACGATCCGATCCATGGATTAACAATTTTAATGAATATCTCATCGCAGCCTGTCGATCCAACATGGATATTAAATTTATTTGGAGTGGTAGTGATGCAAAGGCTCTTGTTTATTATATTACCGATTATGTCACAAAGATGAGTCTCTCTTTTCATGATACATTTGCTCTTGTACAAAAAAGCATAACATCGTTCCAAAATTCATTGCAACAGACAAGCAAGGAAAGTGCAATCGAGAAGTCACGTAAACTCGTTTTACGCTGCTACAATACACTTGCTTCTCAACAAGAGCTATCTGGGGTTCAAGTGGCTTCTTATCTCATGAATTGGGATGATCATTACACAACACACAAATTCCAAGGTCTCTTTTTAATTCAAACTGAACGGTTTTTACAAGCTGAATTGAATGAAATACGCACTAAACAATAATTGAAACTTACAGCGCACGGTCAGTATATTATTAAAGTCTCATCTCATGTTTTAGAAGTATTTATTCTATGAAAAGTGATCACATCGTAAGATATAATAAGAAGAGGAGAAGAAAAGCAGAAGAAAGTCACCAACAGCGATGTTAACTCCGAATATTTTCTATTTTATTTTAAATTAAATAAACTTTTAACACTTAGTGACAGTATGGTATATTAAACTCGGAGATTTTAATTTAATCAAACTGTATATAAACGCTATTATACGAAAAGAACACAGGAATCAACAATTAATTGTAGGTTCTCATTGAGCATATAAAAGAAATTATTTGATCAGAAAGTCATCCATCAAAAAATGAAGTATTCACAATTTTGTTTCTCCCAACAGTCTTTCACTGATTTGTTTAAGCTTTTCTGTCGTACAGAGTTGGCAGATTTCTTATACTAAGTGGTATTTAAGTGTTCGTCTCAGGCCGCTAATATGGACACGAGGCTATAGACAAATTCTTTCAACTGTCATATTTGCTGCATATATGAAAAGAACAAATAGTTGATCGACCGAGTTATGATAGTATAATTAAATAAAAACTAAGTTATTATCTTTCACTAATTTATTATCTTCCATATGTAGATGTAATCGGTGATGATGTATATGATGATGAGATTATTGACGATGAAAATAATGACGAAGAACAGTTTCAAATTCAATCTGTTGAAAATGACAAAAGCTTCGTACTCGTTAATACACGAATCGATTATCAATATCGCTCCAATATTCTCAACAACACGTGTTTATACGACTTTGTCAGTATATTATATAAGAAAAAAAATAAATGCAACAGATCTGAAATATTTATCCAAGACTGCTGCACCAATGAAAGAAGTCATTTGCGAAAAAGGTCGACCGCCTAATGAACGTTATCCTTTTCAAAAACAACATCCACAAACAACAACACATCTAATGATGAAATACAGTCAATCTCATGTACCTATTCTTTACGGTCCTCAAATTCCTCGACGAGATCGTGATGACACTCGAGAACGATATAGTCGAGCTCTTCTTACACTTTTCGTGCCCTGGCGCACCGTAGCTGATCTTTGTGACGTCAACCAAACGTGGGAAGACGCGTTTAAATCTCGACAACATCTTATTTCTATACATTCATGGAAAATTATAGAAAATATTCAACTTTTACACGAATGTAAAAAGGATCGCGATGAACATTTACTTCAAGTTATTGCTGAAGCTCAAACCGATAATGACGCAATTGATCCCATACTTTTGCCAGCAAATCATGATGTTCATGGCGAATGTGATATGGACGACAGCGAAGACTTACTTGAGCTACTTAGACATTTAGATGAACATACATCTACTGCGATCAATACTACCAAAAAGTCAACAGAGAATAAATATATTGAAGAAACTATCGCAACAGTCGAGAACGTCGGACGATTTACTCATCTGAACAGTAAGTATTATTTAATCTGATCTTTAAGCTTGAAAATAATGATAAAATTTTTTTTAGCGTATCAACAATCTTCTTTAAATGAATCTACCGATAAACAACTTGTATCTTTCGTTTCTGCAACATCTGATCTTGTTCGACTAAATACGAAATGGCAAAAACAGCTAAGGAATGAGAAAGAACGAGTTAGAAGAAATTTGATGAACGGCAGTCATGAAAAAGATTGGGATGGTACATTAGACTTGAATGCTGCAAAAGATGCTGTTATAACTGTAATAAATCCAAACAATTATAATACGAGCAAATTTGAAAACTATGCCTCGGTTCTTCCAGTAATCTCAGTCACAGCAAACTTTCCTACTCAGAGAAGCATTGTCGAACAATTTACACTGAACAGAGAACAACGAGCTGCATTTATGATAATAACAAGTCATCTTGATGGTGACAAGCGTTGTCGTACAGGTATCTTTATAAAACAAATCACCACCTTTCGAAAAATATATATAATATTTTTAGGTGACAACAATGGTCAGCTCATAATGTGTATACCGGGATGCGGCGATACAGGCAAATCACAACTGATTCGTGCTCTCACTAAATACTTTTTTGTTACAAAAAGAATGAAGATGATGCAAAAGCTTGCGCCCACCGGAATCGCTGCCGCTGAAATAGACGGAATGACGATCCATTCATTTTTAGGTGAACAACGTAATTCTAGAAAGCCACGCACCATCAAACCAGGTGATTCAATACTCGAAAAAGAATGGAGACTCATAGAATATCTCTTCATTGATGAGATGAGTATGGTTGGTTTGACTCTTCTTGCAAAACTGAACCGAATCATTTCTGCTGCAAAACATGTTGATCCTCAAATTCCTTTTGGTGGGGTGAACGTTATTTTTTTTGGCGATTACTTACAATAACCCCCGGTATATGATGCACCGTTACACACCGATTTTTCATTGTCCACCAAAAAGAAATCGAGTAAACTACCCACTGAAAAAGAAATTCAACAACGTGTCGCACGTTCTTTAATACTTCAAATTAATTGTGTCGTAAAACTTACGCAGCAGATGCGAACGGAAGACTTAAGATATCTTCAATTGCTCGAACGACTACGTCATGGACAATGTACTTACGATGATTATGAATTATTGCTGACACGAGTGGTTGGACAACCATCAGTAGCGTCTCTACATGATTCACCATGGAATCAAGTAAGTTCCATTTTATTTTTGTAACGATTTCTCACCTTCGTCTTGTTTAGGCTCCTATTCTGGTGTTTCGAAATGAAGTACGAACCCAATTAAACCCCAAGGCAGCAATTCATAATGCAACACAATCAGGCAACTTACCAATGGTATGCGTCGCTCAAGACACTTGTAAAGGCAAACCAATTGAAGATCCGACACTTATAAAAGAAACTGTTAGAATTATCTGATAGTAAGACAGAGCATTTACCTGGTCTGTTACCTTTTGTTCCTGAACTGCCTCTTATTTTAACACAAAACATTGCTACTGAGCTTGGTCTTATCAACGGAATTAATGGAATCTTTCGGCAACTTGTCTACCAGGCAGACTCTGTGTCAACAGATATTCTATCGGACTCATTTCCGAAAAACACGCAGTACGTTCGCCAACCATTGTATGCATTGATAGAAATTGCTAAATCGAAGATTGAATGCAATCTTGAAAAACTTCAACCAAAACTATGTCGGATTTTTTTTTAAAGTACCAACGCCTATTTTTTGAATAACTTTTCAACGGTTCAAGTTATAGAGGTCGGATTTCCACCGTTAGAAAGAGCAAGGCGGGGGACGTCGATCTGTATAAAATTCATTATGTTTATGAGTGTTTTTTATGGCTGTTTGCAGTCAAATATTTTATTGGTTGTCGATTTTCATGAGTTTTCACAATAAATTAACACCTAATTAGACCAAAATGTAGCCCAAATCGTCCTGTATTTGTGCTAAAATTTTCACATTTTAACATCAAAGCGTAAGGAAATAAACTCAAGACTAAGACGTAAAGATTTGAAAATTTTAGCTCAAATACAGGACAATTTCGGCTACATTTTGATCTAATTAGATGTTAATTTGTTATGAAAACTCATGAAAATAGACAACCAATAAAATATTTGACTGCAAACAACCATACAAAAGACTCATAAACATAATGAATTTTATACAGATCGACGTCCCCTGCCTTGCTCTTTCTAACGATGAAAATCCGATCTCTATAACTTGAACCGTTGAAAATTTATTCAAAAAATAAGCGTTGGTACTTTAAAAAAAATCCGACATTATTTCCAATACCGCTAATGGAACAAACATTTCGCATTGATATTACCGACCTTTTGCCGAAAGATAAAAAGCCAAAATCAAATCAAAAAGCAATTTTATCAATTAAACGACGTGCACTCCCCCTTGTGCCTGCTTATTGTATCACGACACATAAGAGTCAAGGCCAAACTTTGAATAAGGTGGTGATTGATCTAAAGCTACCGAATGACACCGACGATATTGCTGCAGTCTATGTACCATTGTCCCGTGTGAAATGTTTGGCTGATCTTATTATTTTACGGCACTTCGATTACAAGATTTTGCTTGTTAAACCGAGCAAATCACAAGCCGCCGAAATAGAAAGACTCGATAAACTGTATTTAAATACGCAAACGCGTTTTTCTCAGTGGTTCCAATAAGTTTTCTGCATCGTAAGAAAACTTTTATTATTTGTCTCTAATTTTCTATATGTAATTTTCTTTTCTTTTATGCATTCAGTTGATATTGTATTAATTTCAACATTGTTTTTTTCTGTATCCATATCTTGTATATATCAGCATCGTGTTTTTAATTCTTTTTCGATTATAGTTTGATATATTTACTAGCTATAGATATATCGTTGTTTTTATGTCTATTTTGTCGTTTTTTTCGTCATAAATCGAAGAAATATATTTGCGTCATGTCATCGCTGAGTCAAATTTTAAAATAAATACTCTTGATTATAGTAAAGACTCATACGACTCATTCACTAAATCATTCTATAGGACAGTACCAATACAATGATGTATACATGTGATTAAAAAATAAACTCACGAAAAGTACAACTACTATTCACATTAGAGATACTACTCTTATTTCAAATCATGGTTTGAATGCATTTTGGCGCTGTTATAAATACAATGATCGAGCATAATTTCCAACACTCGGCAGCAACTCTAAGAAGCATATATCGTAGGATTGTCCTTACATGAATCAATGATGTTCGTGCCTCTAAGCAGCTTTATAGGTTGAGGCAGGTTTTAGCATCCATAATATAAATTTCTCTATACATATTTATCGAAAGACTAATCTTTGTTCATATTATTAATCATCGTTTAAAAAGTTGCCCATACGATTACCGATTTTATATGTAAAAGTCTTCATCATTCTAAACTCGTTCTACTATTATACATCATGATAAATGTTATAACAGATATACTTGGCCACGTTTGATACTATCGACAATGGTCTCAACAAGATGCAACAGTAAATAAAAACAAAAGCTAACCATTCAGTCGAGGTTTAAGCAAGTCGAAGCGAAGCATTACTTCTTCATACACTCTCACCCCAACGTTCTTGCCCTTAAAATTTCTATGCCTATACTCATGCGCCAGTACTCTTACATTCTCAGTCACACACATGCGCTACCGGCTATATCATGGTGCCTATTACCCTACCATTACACATCTCAGGGTGAGTTACACTTTGGCAATAAGTAGTGCTACCATGTACAGATGAAGGGAGGCAAAATTACAGCAACAACCTACACACATAACCCACATTTCACAGCCACATTCCCATACATGCTCACATCTACGCACAGTGGCTCGCATACAACCAGATCCATCGAAATTCACACCTACATTCATACAGGCACTCACACATCTATATCAACATTCATACGTCTACCAGAATAACTACAGCCACAGCCCCAATTACGCCCTCTTCAAAATCTTTACATCAACACCAACAGCAGCTACAGACGCAACCACGTCCATAGTCACTCTCACCAACAGCGGCACTCACAGCCTCAAACCCATCACACTCAAAGTCATACATACATTTCCACACATCTGCACCTACGACTAGTGGGCCCAAATCAACATTCACAAACCTACACTCGCATGTATATTCCACACTCCATTTCCATTTCCACTTCCACACAAACACTATACAACACCGACACCCACACCCACACCCACACCCACACGCACACGCACACCC